TCAACAAAGAAAAAAACATTTTGTTTCATTAAAAAAAATATATATGTGCCCTGGCCAGTTTGGCTCAGCGGCTGGAGCATCAGCCTGCAGACCAGAGTCTCCTAGGTTCATTTCCCGCTAGGGGCACGTACAAAAAAACAAAAATAACAACAACAAAATATATATATGTATATGTGTGTGTATATATATTGTATATGTGTGTGAACAATGCACAACCTGTTGAGGTTTTCCTAAAATTTTAGTAACTACGTATGTTATTTCCCATGAGCAAAATTGGGTAGTAATCACTTTTTCCAGCCACATTGATATAAAATTACCATTTAAATTAGGCCTTCACAAATAGTGTTTTATTTCTGTTTAAAACCTTACCCAAGGATATGTTTTTATGGATTTAAGAGAGGGAAGCCCTGACCGGGTGGCTCAGTTGGTTGGAGTGTTATGCCATGCACCACAAGGTTGCAGGTTTGATTCCCTATCAGGGCACATATCTAGGTTGTGGGTTCAATCCCCAATCGAGGCAAGTATGGGAGGGAATGGATCAATGTTTCTCTCTCTCTCCCTTCCCCTCTCTCTAAAGAAATTAAATAAAATAACATATGCTTAGGTAAAAATTTAAAAAATTAAAATTTGCCTTGGCTGGCGTGGCTCAGTTGGTTGGGCATCATTCCGGCACCAAAAGGTTGCCAGTTTAATTCCCAGAGCACATGCTCAGGTTGCAGGTATGTTACCCTGGTAGAGGCTTGTAGAAGGCAGCTGATTGATGTTTCACTTTCACATTGATGTTTCTTTCTCTTCCTCTCTCTCTAAAAAGCAATTAAAAATATTAGGAAAATAAAAATTTGAGAGAGAGATACATCGATGTGAGAGAGAAACATCTATCTGTTGCCTCCCATACGCTCCCTGACCCCTGGGATCGAACCCACAACCTTTTGGTGCACTGGACAACACTCCAACCAACTGAGCCACTCAGCCAGGGACACAAATAGTTTTTATACAAAGCCACAATTACTTGCCATTCCTTCAACCATACATCTGTGTAAAATGCCCTTCTTCCCTACCAGTGGAAACTACCACTCATCCTTTAAGGCTCTAATGATAGCTCCCTGCTAAACCCCACAAGCCCTTCTCTACTGTCTCTTAAAATTATTTGTTCTTGCCCTGGCCAGTTTGGCTCAGCGGTTAGAGTGTTGGCCCGCGGACCAAAGAGTCTTGGGTTCGATTCCTGGTGAAGGGCACGTACCAGTTGTGGATACATCCCTGGACTTGGTCGAGGTTATGTGGGAGGCAACCAATTGGTGTATCTCTCTCATACTGGTGTTTTTCTCTCTTTCTATCCCTCCCTCCCACTCTATTTGAAAATAAATGAAAAAATATCCTCGGGTAAGGATTTAAAAAAAATAAACAGTTCAGCTTGGCCAGTGTGGCTCAGTGGTTGAGTGTTAACCCATGCACCAAGAGGTCGCCGGTTCAATTCCAGGTCAGGACACATGCCTGGGTGGTGGGCCTGGTCCCCAGTGGGGGACATGCAGGAGGCGGCTAATAAATGTTCTCTCACACGGACGTTTTTATCTCTCTCTCTCTCCTTTTCCCTTTGTCTCTCTCCCTCTCCCTTCCTCTCTCTCTGAAATCAATTAAAAAGTAAATAAATAAATAAATAATCAGTTCAATTTAAAAGAATTATTTGTTCTTTCTTCTTTATTCAGGGCTACCAACCAATGTGCCCGTACTTTACATATTTTGTTTAATGCTTAATACTCCCCTTTGAAATATTATCCTCTCCACTTAACAGATAAGGAAACTGAAGCTGAAAAAGGTTTGGTATCATGTTTAAGGTCACAAAGCCAAACAGGAAGTCAAATGTTGATGTCTCAACTTTAATTGAATTCTCTTTCCATGAAACCAGACTCTATGCAACTCTCTTATAGTATATAGCATTATTATTTGTTCAAATATATCTTTCCCCCCTGAAACAAAGTTCCACAGACAGCAAAGGTGACTCTATCCTTATATCCCCAGCAACACTCAAAAGTACCTATTATATAATGACCTCAAAGTATTAGTGACTATGTACAATGCTCTTAATCAGTTTATGGTTTTGGAGCATTACTTTCCATTAATTAGTCTCCTTCTACCAAGTCTCTAAGAAGCCACTTTTACTGTGGTAGTAAAGCATAACCACCACGTAGGCTTAGTCATCAGAGTGCTTGGAAATAACTCACACTTCCACCAACTTATTAGCTGAGAAATCTTGAACAAATAAGTTAACCTAAGTTTTGGTTAACTCACCTATAAAAAGGGAGGACAGCAACCACAGTACTTACAACATAGAATTATAAGGATTAAATGAGATAATATATAAGGAATCCAGCTCTTTTTTGATCCACCCACCCCTCTTTTATTCTTTATTGATTTTAGAGAGAGAGAAGAGGGGAGAGAGAGAGAGATAAAAACACTGATGAAAGGGAACATCTATTGGCCACCTCCTGCATGCCCCTCACTGAGGATTTGGCCCACAACCTGGGCATGTGCCCTGAAGGGGAATCATACTGGCGACCTCTTGGTGCATGGGTCGATGCTCAACCACTGAGCCACACCAGCCGTCCTGATTCCCTGTTTTTGGCACGTCATCTTGAATTTTACTAGCCTTTTCTCATCACAACTTCTTTGCAATTTTGCATTAAATAGGCTAGCCAAAAAGGTTCATGGTTTAAAAACTGCTTAGGCTTGCCATGGTTAGTTTCGCTCAGTGATAGAGCACTAGCCGAAAGACCGAAGGGTCTTGGGTTAGATTCCTGTTTAAGGTCATGTACCTCAGTTGCAGATTCAATCCCCAGCCCTGGAAAGGGTCATGCAGGAGGTAACCAACTGATGTGTCTCTCACATGGTTGTATCTTTCTCTTCCTCTCTTTGTCTCTCTCCCTTTCTCCCTCCCTCCTTCTCTCTATAAAAATCAATAGAAAATGTCCTTGGATGAGGATTAACAAAAATAAATAAATGAATGAATAAAATAAAAATAAAAATTGCTTAGGTCATCTACTTTACTTTTAGGGCTCTCTGTCCAGTGCCAGTTTGTACTCAAAAAAAGTTTACTTTTGGTTGCCTGACTATGCAGGAGTGCCTCCATTGTACACTATAGTTGATTTGCTTACCACATTTTATTTTATTTTATTTTATTTTTTTATTAATTAATTTTTGTTACAGATGTTTCTCCTTTTCCCCCCACTGATTCCCCCCTCTCCCTGCTTACCACATTTTCATGTCCTACCAGAAAGTGGTGAAAATTAGAACACAGAGACATCCTACCTTACTAACACCTATCTTCATAGTATCTGATGCATGCTGACCACTAATCTGTGTGGGAGGCAAGCTATTTCCCCAACAAGTAATTTTCCTGTAACCAGCTTGAGTCTGGTCTCAGGCATGGTTCATTTTCCCCAAACCTCATATTCCTTTAGAATCGGGAGGTTGAGCCACTACAACTAACATATAGGATACCCATTTCCTTCTCTTAAACTTAGCAACCCTTACTCCAAAAAGTTAGCATTTCAAACTGTTATGCGATTTTTCTTTTTTCTTTTATCCTCATCCCAGGACATTTTTTCACTTTTTGTTCAGATAGAGTGGGAGGGAAAGAGGAAGTGAGAGAGAAAAACATCGACGTGAAAGGTACACATCGAGTGGCTGCCACCCCCACGACCCAACCAGGGCCTGGGACAAACTGCAACGAAGATACGCGGCCCTAGCGGAAACCGAACCGGGTCTCTCTGGACCGCAAGGCCTATGCTCCAACCACTGAGCCAAACCAGCCAGGGCTGTTATGCGATTTTAAGGCTCCCTAAGATAAAGTGCATTGTTCCCAAATTCTCAGAATTCCCCCTTCCAACCTTAAAAATGTTATGATAAAGTCCAGTTTGGGAGAAAACACATTTTTTAAAAAAAATACATAATCCCTAAAAACAAGAATAAACACTAAGGCTATTGTCAAAGTCTCCAAGGAAAAAAAGAAAAATCTTAAAATGTCTAGTGGGCTAACCCTAACCAAAAATTATAAAGTTAAAGTACCACCAGTATCAACAACAACAAAAAAAACTCAAAGTAAGCAGGATATACCATTAACAAAAGAAACAAGTGTACATTACAAACTATTTAATACATTCACAATGATTTTAAAGATTATTTGATCCTTATATACTTAAATAAGTTGTTTCACATTCTGTACTTCCCTACTCTGTATTTGTTGGTATAAAGCAGTTCCTTTTTTTTCTTGCCAAGCTAAAAATAAAAGGGTGACAGATCAGTGCCAAAATGACCCCTTAAGTTATACAGAAGGTGTTGAGTTGGAAAAGCCACAACTAGAAGGTCCAATACCAGAACACTGGCTGTCCACATCGGGCAGATAAAAATAAGAAAAGATGAAGTACGCTGATGGACCGCCCGCACGGTTTCCAGACGGGAAATATCCATTAAGGCCGGTGCAAAAGGTTTCAGCACCCGCTTTGTAGTCAGTGCTGGAATCAAAAAACCAAACTGTTGCCTGCTTCCAGAGCGCGCGGTCGCCCCCTCCTCCCGAGCCTGCTCCTTCGGTCGATAGCTGACCTCTCCCCGCCGGCCCAGCCACCCGATGCCCCTGCACGCCCTCCAGGACCCCCAGCACCGCGTAAGTGGAAGCAATCGAAGGAGAGGGACGGAGGAACGGCTAAGGCGGCCCTGGGCTTCGGCCCCTCACCATCAAGAATCGAAGACCGCGATGGCTCGGAAGGCGACTGAGCTTGTGCCACCCGCCAAAAGATGGCACGAGACCGCGGTTGACCCTGGCGCGCAGGTGCCAGCGGCCGCTGGGGAAGTCGCCGGCGGTAGAGGGCGATGAGTTGGCTCTGGAGCCCCCACCTCCATCCCGCCCTCCGCTCTCCTCCCGGGTTCCGCTCCATCCTCAGGATTCTGTCAAAACCCAACGACCTACACACGGCCCGCCCAAGCGCGAAGGTGATGCCGTCTCTCACCTTAGGAGCCGGCGCCACGCCGCTAGGAGGCAGCTGGGGTGCGCGGGAGACACCAAGGCGAACACCGCCACCACCGCGAGACACCTAGGAGCAACAACGAGGCTGCCGGCGGGCGCGCTGCCTCCACAGCGGTCGCCCCACCTCCTCTCCCGCAGGATTTTGCGCTGGAGCCTGCAGTCTCCGCGCGCTGGCGGGGATCCCGGGCGACAGGAGGGGCGGAGCGCTCCTCGGGGGTGTATTCGAGAGGTGGTTGGTATGATTGGCATCTGCCTGTCCAATGGGACTACAAACACTCCAGGCTGTGCTTTGACTGACTTTTCTTCTAGCCAATAGCAATAGAGAGGCGTGGCAAGTGGCCTCTTTTATTGCTGCCCCTTTGGCAAACTCGAACAGACGGAAAGGTCGGTTGGTTTGCACTGGAGACCAAATGGTCCAATTACCGCAGGGAACGGAGCTCTGAATGCAGATTGGCGTTCTTCTTACCTATAGGGTAGGCTCAGGGGCGGTGAGACCCTGCCCCGGATGTGGGCGCGGCCCTGAGGTAGAAGTGAGAAATTCTCTACCGCGGTCGTTTGGAAGAGCGGAACTGGGATCTTGTTCTTGGTTATCATGTGACGGGTCTGGATTTAATGGGGGGGAAAGTGTGGAATAGGCCAAGGATCCAAACTGACGAATTCCCTGATATTCGCGCCCTTCTGCGCTCTCCGGCCAGCGGCGTAGTCAGGTGAGTCTGGAGCTCCAAAGGGCTGACATCTTGCACGGGCCTCCAGATGCCTGGGTGGGCTGTGCATCTTGCACGGGCCTCCAGATGCCTGGGTGGGCTGTGCCGCCGCCCCCTACCTCCACGGCCACCCCCTCACACTCCCAACCGCAAATGCACATAAACTTGCTTGGCACCAGGCTTCTGTGTGCATTGTGGATCCTGTCTTGCAAGAACTGCGTTCAATGTATTTGGGCCACAGCGCAAAATGGTGGGGAAGGGGGAGTCTGACCCCCACCCGTCTAAGACGGAGGGCAGGGATAGTTTGGGAAGATCCTGAAGTTCTAGGGACAAGTAGGCGCGAATATAACTTAAGTTGTAACCAGAACGCTGTTCCTTTGAAGGATGGTTGTTAACCAAGACTGTAGCAGCAGGGGCCTTTCAAAAGCGACTCGTTATTTAGGGGAGTTGTGTGTTGTGGGCTCATTAAGCAAAACTGCCTTTGGCATGGGGCGAATTCACTTGAAAGAGTAATGGCAGTAGCGAGAGAAGGGAAATGGGGGTGATGTGGCAAGTAGCATGGACAAATGAGACCACACACAACTGACACCTATACACTGGAGCTGTGGGCCCTTTATTTTACCATGGTGCGGGAGGCGTGGAGGAGCAGCACAAAGTTTTCACAGTGGATGAGGAAGCATATGAACTAATACTTTATTCAATGTACCAGAAATAACCTCAAATAGGATATATTTAAGTTGAGCAAATTTTTGTTTTGGACTATGCAAACTCCTCCCTTAAGGAGAAAGAAGAGTAGGAGTAGGAAACAAATATAACTGCCTAAATTAAGGAAGATTGGTTAATAAAATTGGGGTCATATGTAATCAGTGTGGCCCAGCAAACACAATCCTTCTGTCATCGTTTAAACATTAGCAGAGTGCTTCCCAGTTGAGGGCATTTTTGTACAAGTACATACAGAAATTTGTTGCCTCCCACGTTATAAAACTTGCATCCACAAGACTGTTCTTTGCATCCTTTCCACCTCCAGTCCTAAAGTACCTGAGTTGAGTGCTGCTACCCTTCCTATAATTAGTTGCTACTCAGTCCTATATGAGAAAAAAATGAAGCTTAACTCATCCAGTGGCTGATGGAAAAGTTATGTATAAAGAAGTATATTATCGTAAACTTTTGAAAGGTTCACGAAATGGCCAGATGGATCAGAGATCAGGATTGAACAAATTTAATTTCCAGGATTAAATCCATCCGTGGTTATCCGTCAGTACACACCCCTCCACCTTTTCTTTCTTTTTTAAAAAAATTTTTTTTTCTTTATTGATTTTTTTTTTTTTTTTTTTTTTTGAGATAGAGGAAGGGAGAGGGAGAGATAAAAACATCGATGAGAGAGAACATGGATTTGCCATGTCCTACATGCCCCCACTGGCGATGGGGCCCACAACCTGGGCATATGCCCTGACTGGCAATCAAACCAGTGACCTCTTGGTGCATGGGCTGACGTTCAACCACTGAGCCATGCCTGACGGGCACCCCTCCACCTTTTCATCCAGGTTCAGTCCTACATCCCACTGTGACATCCTCTGGCCAGGAAAGGAGACCAGCACAGAAAAGAAAAGGCATCTCCATTTCATACTGCAGTATGAAACACCTGCCATCTAAGTAAACAAGTTGAGTGCAAGCGGATGGGTGCAGGAGTAAAAGGGGAGTTAGGTGATCCATAGAGCACTGTTGAAATAAAACACCATGGTAGCCATCCACTGTTTAAATAGTAGAGATGTAGCAGAAAAACATCAAAGTTCTAAAATACAATTTACTAAACATTCTGGTCTAGGACATTTGATTCATCTTCTGTTGACTCCTCACCCACTGACTGTAATCTGTCTTCAGACTTCCCATTCTACTTAACCTTTTTTCCAAATGGTCACAGATTGATATAAAAAACTCAAATATGTAGAGATCATACTGTAAACTTATATGTGAAGGTTAAGTAAATGCTTATATCTTAAGTATTATAGCTTAATGCCTTGTCAATCAAAATTTCAAGTTTTTAAGAATCTGAAGAAAATGAAAGGACAAAAATAGTAGAAATATTCTGGAAAAGAAAACAGTGAATAGGTACTAGGCCTTCCAGATATTAGAATATATCCTAGAACATATCCAGTAACAGTCATAGTACTAGTGCAAAACAGAAACATTGAGCAGTAAGACAGAATAGTGATATGAGAAATAGCCCCAATTATTGAATAATTTAGCATCTAATAATTACAAAATGTCATATTTTAAGTGGTCTTGATTGTTGGAAAGAAGTGAAAAAAAAGAAAGTAGCCCTGGCCAGTTTGGCTTAGCAGTTGGAGCGTCAGCCTGTGGACCAGAGTCCTGGGTTTGGTTCCCGCGAGGGGCACATACCAAAAAATAAAAAAATAAAATAAAAAAGTAGTCTTTACTACAAAGCAAAAATAATAATAATAATAATAATAATAATAATGAAAGTATTATAAGAAAAAAATTAGACAAAAATAGATACAAGAATTTAAATGAGAAAATTTAACTTAAAAATATAAGATCCATAGTTTAAACTTGTGAAAATATAGTGTTATCAGTGTGTTCTGTATTATTTGCCCAATGACCTATTTATAATCTTATACTTAATCTCTTAATTTTTATTAACCATTACCTCCTTACTGACTCTTCTCTCTTGGCTTGATAACATCTCCTTTTTCACTGTTTTGATTTTGGATGCTTTTTCTTAGTACTCCTTGAAATTGAATGAAAATTTGTAGGTGTGCAAATGTACAAAAAGAAGTTAAGAACATCCCTGAGCTGCAGGAATAAAGTCATGAGTACCTGGACTTGAGTGATAGCAATGAAGAGCAACAGACTATTCTTGAGACATTTTGAATAGATTATATAAAAGGGGTATACTAAACATTTTATTGTATTTTGTCATGGACTAAGTGGAATGATGGATATAATGCTGTCAAAGATAGCTACAAATTTTACAGGTTTTGAAAGAAAGAATGATAGAATGTTTTCAAAATTAGTCAGTCTGTGAGTGAGAAAGAGCCAGCTTTGTTCACCAGGAATAGAAGTGTTTTTTTTGTTGTTGTTTTTCTGGTATCAAAACCATCTTGACTTTCTTTCCTTCTCTTAGGGTATATTTCCCATTTTTCGACACTGCAACAGCTTCTTTAAACTGTTTAAATGAGAATGTCCTTGGCTCAGAGAGTGCTACTCACCTGGCTTTTCACATTGCTCTTCTTGATCATGTTGGTGTTGAAACTGGATGAGAAGGCACCTTGGAACTGGTTCCTCATATTTATTCCCGTCTGGATATTTGATACTATTCTTCTGGTCATGTTGATTGTGAAAATGGCTGGGCGATGTAAGTCGGGCTTTGACCCTCGACATGGATCACACAATATTAAAAAAAAAACCTGGTACCTCATTGCAATGTTACTTAAATTAGCCTTTTGCCTTGCACTCTGTGCTAAACTGGAACAGTTTACTACCATGAATCTGTCCTATGTCTTCATTCCTTTGTGGACCTTACTGGCTGGGGCTTTAATAGAACTGGGCTATAATGTCTTTTTTGTGAGAGACTGACATCTGAGAACATCATCTTATTTAACTGCTGTTCAACAAGCTGTCATTAAAGCATTCTGAATCTTTGGAAGCTTGAAGAATACCAAGAAAACTGAGAAAAAAACCAAATGTAGTTTTATACTGCCTCCATAAAATAGTCTTGGTGAATCATGGACTTCTAGTCAACCCAAAGGTTAATTATTCAATATCTGAGTTATTATCTTTATCATCCCCATTTAAATAAAGTTTGTTTTGGACCTTATATTTCTATTTGACTTTTAAATAATCTGTTGTAAGGATGGGTCAATATTTAAACTAAGTAATAAGTTAACCTATATATTTGAGAGTTTAATATGCAATGGCCCCATTACAACCAATGTATAAATGGTCACTTGTGCTTCTAAATAATTATGAAGGGAAAAAAACAGGTACTGAAATAATTAGGGGATGCTACTTCACATTTACATTTAGAAAGGATCTGAGAGTTTGACAGATTTTTGTCTAGGCTAAGTTCTTTGTTTACCTCTACCTTCAGTTTGGTACAGATGAACTAGAGGTGGCATATTAAAACAGAACAGAAACTTGCCAGACAGGATTTTTTTTTGTAGTTCAGTAAAAATTGTATACATGCACATATTATCTAAATATAATCTCTTACAGGGAAAAGGAAAAGAAGGGACAGCTCACATGTAAACAGTCAGCTGGGAGTCAGCAAAATTTTTCTGTAAAGGGCTATAAGTTTTCCATTGCAACGACTCAACCCAGGTCATGTGGCAAGAAAGCAGCCATAGATCATGGCTATATATATTCCAATAAATCTTTATTTTGGACAATGAAATATAAATTTCATATAATTTCCACATTTGACAAAGTATTCTTTTGATTTTTGTTTCAGTCATT